CGGCTTCCCACAGTGAACATACCAGTGCTGCAGACCCAAAGACCAGCGAAAAAACCAGCCAGGTTGAGGACAGTGCTGGATCCCTAATTAATCATTTCCTTTTTGTTTTTTAAAGTCAGCAGTTACAGTACTTGTCAATCACCACTCTGCCCCTCCAGTGCTCACCGGAGCACCGGGCTGTGGAGGGGGCAGGCTGGCTTAGGTTCTCAGTGAGCGCTGAGAGGTGAAGCCAACTGCCGATCAGATATCTGGGCAGATCGCAACATTATCACCATATTTTTGTTGGGATCCCTCCAGAGCCTGGACTGGCTCTATGACATCTGGGTCAAAGGAGTGCAGAACTAAGTACACTCCTGTGACCCATAGGACAAGTATGGCCAACAAAGCTTTGACCATACTTTTTCATTAAGTGGGGTTGCTCTTTATGTTATGAGAAAACATATTTTCTAGCATATCCTCCCAAGGAACATCTGAAGAACATATGGAACAGATGAAGTAGGTCTTCGGGTTTGAGAGTTTTCATTTCTTTGAAATCTGAGCAAAATTTTAGAGAGCTTGGCAAAATTTCACCGTTTAGGCAAAATGGATTGAATTCAATGAATAAGACAATGTTTTTGGTGGTTCTAAAGGATGTAATGGGCTTAAATAGCTCATGAGGGATACAGAAGCTCCATTCAACTTTCCTGGGCCTGTCCTCATGCCAAGAAACAGCTCTTAATTGGCCTCATTTTATGGGCTTTTTTCCCCCACAAACAGAAAACTGATCTAAGAAAAAAAGTACAATGAAATATTTAAGGGGACAATACACAGATAACAAAAAATACAAAAATGTGAAAAGCGAAATAAAAAAAAGTATATACACTCCCCCCGCCCCCCAAAAATGTAAGTAATTTTGCCTAAGCAGCTCAACAAACAAAACCAAAAAAAAAAAAAAAATGGTCTAGTTCGCACCATAATGCATTGCAGTGGTTGCTTTCTTTTGTCTTTTTATTTTCTGCTAATTCTATACTCTGCGATGCAGTACAACATATTGTTGAATAAAGCTGCAATAAAATAATGCCTGCATCAGTTTATTGCAACGTACACCGATGTGCTGCGTTGGCATGTACAGGCCTTTTACAAAACAGTTTTTTGCCTTGTAGGGACTCCATTGGGCAGACAATTGGGCTGGGGTGAACAATCCCTAGTGACAGGAAGAAACTAATCTCAATACTGTTATACTTGAGCACCGGGACGACTTAAGCTGGCCATGCACCTGTAGAATTTTGTACGCAAATGTTTGCTTTTGGAACATGCATTTTTTTAATGGTTAGTGGGGTCAAACTGAATTTTCTCATCTCTATGGACAAAAAAGAAACATCTAAGCAAAAGGATGGAAAATTTTACCTATACAAGCGAAACACTTGTTTAATTCAACCGAGATTCTATTCACATAGCAGGTTTTAAGGGCTTTTGAAATGAGTGGATTCAATGATGGCAAGGCAGAACGCTCTGACCAACACATTTTCTTCGAACATTTAGATGAAAATCAAACCGTGGCCAGTTTAAGGTGACACTCCAAGATAGAGAAATCTATATCAAATGCAGTTGCTCTTTAAAAATATTTATCGCACCCTTTTGCTTACTCAAGCACAATGGATTTGTTGTACTGCTTGCATTGCATTTCTAAAGTAAAAAAAAAAAACAAAAACACAAAGACTGAAAACACGAGAAACAATTCTTGGCACAAATTGTACAGGGTATGGTATGTCCAATTATCATTTTGCATAGTGTAGAAATAAAATTATGAAAAAGGGAATAAAAATATTCCTAGTAGTGCCTAAAGGAAATATTGCCTCCATTACCCGCAGCAACAAGATACTCCCAACTCCTTTTTAAAGAACCGAAAAGACATATTCCATCCTGACCTGATAACTTAGTTATCAGTGTATTGTGGTAGGCCAAAAAAATTTAGACCTCAGCACCTTGACTCTCTGAAGCAGGAAATTTCATCGTTTGCCAGACAGATCATATAGTCAGACAAATGAAAAATAATAATCAATAAAATAGAATTGTATGCTGCCCCTTGTAGAACATTTCCATTTTAAACCTAAAACAAGACAACGACAAAAGACTCCGAACTAACTGATCACAGCTCACCTGTTACACAAACCGTAATTCAAATGGTAAGCCGGAATTATTGCTATGGTAGAACTTTTGGGTTTTTTGTTGTAGTAATGGAAGGTTATAACCCCTGCCAGTTTGTTTGCCATCTGTGTCCCATTGGGGTGATTTCCCTTCATTTCCTGTCCCACAGCCAGAAAAACTGGAAGTGAGAGGAAATCCCTTCAAAATGAGAAAATCCCTGGCAGACACCAGAGCTAGTGACCCCATTGGAAGATTTCCCTTCTATTCCTGTTCTGGTGACAAGCAAACATTTGGGATTTTTTAAATCACTTTCAGGACGAATAGGGTAAATCTCCCTAATTGGGACACAGACTGCAATAAAAGCTGGAAAGGTGTTTTAAACCCTTTCCATTATAGCCCAAACTAAAAAGAACATTTTGCTTATAGCTATACTTTAGGGTCAAGTCCACCCAAAAATATTGCATTTTTTTTAATATCTCCCACACATTTTATTGCAGCGGTCCCCCACAATTTTGAGCATCTATCCTTTTCTACAAACTCATAGCTAAGAGCTCAGTCTCTTATTTCTCTGTATTGTGAAAAATCTGTCATCTTGTTAATATAAGCAGTAGCTGGGCAGAAATGTAAATTCTGGTGGGGATTTCTTGGCAGTAGATTTCCTGAGACATATAATGTACCACCATGTGATCCAACTTACCCCCAACCAAGCTACATTAACATAATAACTTTATATGGCTTTGGCTGACAATGATATTCTAGAAAACCGGATTTAAGAGAATGAGTGTGCTTCTCTAGCAGCTGAACAGATTGCTAGCTTTCCAGTAAAGGTTGGGAAAAATGTCTGATAAGTAGTTATGGGCATGACAGGCACTCCCCTCATTTCACGTTTTTTAGAATGTACACTACATGGCCAACAGTTTGTGGAGACCCGACCATCAAACCTCTACGAGCTTGTTAGATATCCCATTCCAAATCCACGGTCATCCCTTTGCAGCTATAATATCCCCCACTGTTCTTGGAAGGCTTTCCACAAGATTTTGGTGCATGTCTGGCAAACCTGTTAGGGTCAAGACTCTGTGAAGGCCACCAAACCCTTCATGGAGCTGGGTTTGTTCCCCGGGGGCACAGTCATGCGGGTTTAGAAAAGGGCCTCCCCAAAACTGTTAGCACAAGGTTGGAAACGCACAGTTTGTCTAAAATGACTTTGTATGTTGTAGCATTGATGATACCCTCTATTGGAAACATCTGAACTCAATAATTTGGAAAGGTGACCACATACTTTTGGCCTTCTAAGTAGGTGTGATGGTCAGATATGTACAAAATATTGGTCATATAGGGTGATGGTTAGGGCCGTCATTCCATCAGAAAGGCCTACAAATGTTTCACCAACCAACTTGACCCTAGCATTGTATGATTCCCTCCCATTGTTGTCTATGTATACATGAATATATACATTTTAGTCACCTTTCTAGAGAAAGGGGAACCATTCTCTAGATGTGCCTTTCTGCTGCCACCTTGTAGAAGAACATTTTAAAAGATATTTTGCAGACCATTTTCAAAGCATAGTGCCCCCACCCGATTCTTTGGCATTTTTTGAGAAATTAATGCTTGTTAATGTGTTTTCCATACATAAAAAGTACCTTATTTGTTCAAATACAGGAAAATAACCAGAAGCTCATCCATCAGTTTTGGTGCACACAGTGTTACATTATGAAAGTGATGTCTAATTTTTGACTCCATTAATAAGAAGACATGGCATTGGCATTTGTGGGCATCCAGGCCTGTCTTGTTTGGCCATGATGATACTGATAGGTGGCTGGGAAAGACCTCCTCTACATTAAAGTGACTGTGGCTGCAGCTCTTGGTGGCCTTCTGGTACAGGCTGGTGATCTGGAAAAAAGGTTTTCCCTTTTTCTGTCTCCACAGGCATCCAGGCCTATGATATACTTCCATATATTGCATACTTGAGCTTAAAGATGAACCCCAGAAGGATATAAAAGATACAAATTAACGCAGTTCTGTATCCATTGAAATATCTTTTTTCTTTTGCATTATTTAACTGCAGAAAAAGAAAAATCAGGTTTCCTGCCCTACCAGATCGAATGTAAATGATAGAACTGGATTGAAATAAATACAAAATATTTGACAGGTAATACAACCACCATATACTGTGTGTATTTCATCTGTCTAATTGAGAGGTTTGCCTGGAGTTAAGTTTTAGGGTGTTAACTCCTTCTTTCTGGTTTGGGTACTATCCAAAGAGTTATTGTTGTTTTACCTTGCAACAAGGGGTCTCACGAAAAAGGCAAATTTATTCCACTTATTTTGGCTTACACAGGCATCCAGGCCTGTGAAATAAGTCTGTATATAGGAATAGTTTTCGATTGCACCACAATCTGCAGGGCATAGCCATGAATAAGATCAAAAAACTATGCTGGCTTTCCTGGCCTCAAGGGGCTCAAGGATGCTGATGTACTGTAAGGCCAAGACAGCTGTAATGATAAATTCTGTATCACTTACATCATGACCACCACTATCTGTAGAATACCTACATTTCCGCATATAAAGGCATCCATATCCATCTCATTGAGAGTGCACCACAAGCTTTGGTGTATTGTCATAGGTATGGTTCAACCAGAAGAACTCATTGCCTTTTTTTGACTACGATTGCCTTGTGGATGTTGATGTGCTGTTGGCCAAGTCAACTCTTTCAATAAGGTCCTGCATCCAAATGTAAAGACCTGGGCCATCACCTGATACAGAATGGCAATCTGTAGGAAGTCTATCTGCTATAAGCAATTTTTGTCTGCTTATTTTGGCATTACGAGGCATGAAAAAGGCTAAAATGTATCCGTACAAGTCATCCTCGAGATTTAGACCACAAACTCCGGGACATCATCATGAGTAAGGTCCAAAGAAAAGTACTTGCTGACTTTCTTGGCCACGAGGGGCTCATGAATATTGACACACTGTTGAGCAAGACAGCCGTTGCAGTAGAGTCCTGTGTCACCCGCGTTATGACCACAGCCGAAAGTATAGCTCTGGGCAGTCTCTTGGTACAAGCTGGCGATCTGTAAAAAGTCTTTCTGGTACAAGCGGATATCATCCAGACTCAAACTGTGGCGATCGGTGGATGTCTTTGGTTTTCGGCACGCCGTCTGCAAAATTTTCAAAAACACCATTAGTTCTCAACCTCAACAGCTACAAAACTATACTATATTTACATTTAGGCCCCATTTACACTGCCATGCTGCAGTAACATTTGTTAACAATAAGCGTTGGTGCAAAGTAGTCCCATTTATTTTGAATGGCCCCAGCACACATTTTCAATGCACATGCTCTGCAGCACAACTCGTGTTAAAACATGGTTGAAAAGGCTGCATGCACCTTTTTTGGTGTGTTAGGCAGCCTATTCAAATGAATAGGCTGCTATAATGCCATGCAGATTAACACGTGGTAACGAAAATGATTAATGCGGCTCAAAAGTGTAATTCCAGCCTTAGTGGTCAGGAAAGAACTTTGTCCTTGTTGAAGACACAAAGGCTAGGTTTTTAAAGTTATTTTCCATTTTTGTTTTTGATCATCTGGGGTTTTCAAAGATGTAACAACTGCATTTGATTAGCGTACTGTATGTACTTTTTAACACCTGTGTTACCATTTTGTAAATTTAGCTTTTTAAAGAAAAGCGCTACTAAGCAATATTTTTTCAAAAACAGCCACCCATAACCTCCATCACATTTTTGGATAAACTTCTAATGAAAGCACTTTTCCTACATTTTAGTTCAAGATAACCAATGCCCCACTTTTGGAGAAAGAAGGCCATAAAGATTGTTTTGCACCTTCAAATGTAATTTTCTTCTACTGATACCATAGAAAATACAGTACTAAAAGTGGTGACCTCTCTTGTCCAGAAAAGCATCCGCTGTATCTTGCTTGAAATTACTTCAGATCTGTTAAGGAGTTCTCTGCTAGGGCTACTAGCTTTGCCCATCTATAGCACCAAGTTCTGCCTACCCACCAGCCCCCTGTCCATTATGACTGCCTTTCCAGCATGTAAGGGGCAGATGATAGGATGAGACATAGCAACACATGCGGTATTACCCCTGCTCCTTTATAGTGCATAAATCCTCCTGCTCTTCCACCAGTCCCTCCTTTGTACCCTGAAGAGCGCTCCCATAGAACAGAGGGCTGACGGTTGTGTGGAGCTTATGGTCTAAATCAGGGGTGGGCAACTGTGGCCCTCCAGCTGTTGTAGAACTACAAGTCCCATGAAGCATTGCAAAACTGACAGTTAAAAGCATGACTCCCAAAGGCAGAGGCATGATGGGACTTGTAGCTCACTAACAGCTGGAGGGCCACAGTTGCCCACCCCTGGTCTAAAATCATTGGCCTCCAAACTTTGGCCTTTTGCTTGCCTTTATTAGGCCCTTGGGGCACTATTTCTCCCACTGATACAAGGCATTATTCATTCCACCGACACCAATGATGGTGCACTATTCCTCCCACTGACACCAATGATGGTGCACTATTCCTCCCACTGACACCAATGATGGGGCACTATTCCTTTCACTAATACCAATGATGGGGCGCTATTCCTCCCATTGACACTGACGACGGGGCACTATCCATCCAGTAATACCAATGATGGAGCTCTATTCCTCCCACTGACACTATTGATGGGGAACTTCCTCCCACTGATACCAACAATGGGTCTCTGTTACTCCCCCTGACACCAATGATGGGGCACTATTCCTCCCACTGATACCAATGATGGGGCACTATTCCTCCCACTGATACCAATGATGGGGCACTATTCCTCCCACTGATACCAATGATGGGGCACTATCCTCCCACTGATACCAATGATGGGGCACTATTCCTCCCACTGATACCAATGATGAGGTACTATTCCTCCCACTGATACCAATGATGGGGCACTATTCCTCCCACTGACACCAATGATGGGGCACTATTCCTCCCACTGACACCAATGATGGGGCACTATTCCTCCCACTGACACCAATGATGGGGCACTATTCCTCCCACTGACACCAATGATGGGGCACTATTCCTCCCACTGACACCAATGATGAGGCACTATTCCTCCCACTGACACCAATGATGAGGCACTATTCCTCCCACTGACACCAATGATGGGGCACTATTCCTCCCACTGATACCAATGATGGGGAACTATTCCTTTCACTAATACCAATGATGGGGCGCTATTCCTCCCACTGACACTGACGACGGGGCACTATTCCATCCAGTAATACCAATGATGGAGCTCTATTCCTCCCACTGACACTAATGATGGGACACTCTTCTTCCTCCTACTGTCTACAGGCAATATGTAATTCTTTTTGTACCACTGACCACCAATGTCTGAGACATTGTTTCCTCTCTATGATGCTGGGACATTTTCTACACTCTACTGGCCACAGTCCAGCCCCCATAAAGTCTGAAGGACAGTAAACTGGCCCTTTGTTTAGAAAGTTTGGAAACCCCTGGTCTACATAGAGAAGCTGGGGTCATGAAGGACAAAAAGACAAAGTAAAATTAGTATCAGAAGGGGGGGGGGGGTTCAAGGGAAGGGGTTTGGGACAGGAGAGGTAACAGAAGGCAACTTAGAGTGGCAGCATTTACATTTTTATATAGAGTGGAGGACAAGTTTACTTTAAATCTGCATGATGCTCCATCTAGCACTTGCTACTAACAGCTACACAAATATTGAGTCTTAGTACCACCTTAAGAACAGTTGTGTACTTCCAAAAGTCCCATTCTTTAGGAGAGACTTTACTACAGTACAAAGAACAAGCAGTGTGACCAAAGGCATTGCTCCCGGGTAAATATGTGCAATGGAATTTACATGGAAGGTCAATAAGTTAATGCAGTAGATCATGGGTGCTCAACCTGTGGCCCTCCAGCTGTTGCAGAACTACAAGTCTCATCATGCCTCTGCCTTTGAGAGTCATGCTTGTAACTGTCAGCCTTGCAATGCCTCATGGGACTTGTAGTTCTGCAACAGCTGGAGGGCCACAGGTTGAGCACCCACACAGTAGATGATGGCTATGTAAAGCATACACATGGTCTTTGATGAGGCAGAACACTTATCTATGGACAATTTTGGATTATTCTAACCCGGCTCTGTGTCTTTTATATCTGCCTTGAGTTTAGCGATAAGGTTACAGTTTACTTGGCTGTCAACGTTTACCTGTGGCAATGAGTCTGTGCTCTGACCACGTAGCTTAACTACTGTTTCTGAAGAGCTGGAAGTTGATGAATTAACTTCTTTAACAATTAAACCTGAAATAAAACAAGCAGGCAGTTATAGAGCAGCATATGGTCTAATAGACTGTTCTAATACAATGCCATATGGTGGTCTTACAGTACAAGGGGTTTTTGTTTTTTCTGTGATTTCAACCATATGTAACCAGTTTCTGATTGAAAAAAAAAATGACCAAACACATTGAGACAACCAAATGCTAAAATATCCAATCTGCTGTTAATGAGTTATAATCTGTACAATTATTCTTTTTAGTGGGGAAGCGCTTTGAGAGAACAAGTGCTTTAATGAGCTCAAAAGAGATCTACAAAATAGCCCATTGGTGGTCGAATCCGCAGGTGTCTGTAGTTGGCTAAGCAGAGAAAAGAGATAGGTTGACTTTAGCAGTGGGCAGCAGTACATATTTACCTTTCCTTTGTTCCCCTACTGTTTTCATTCAACTACTGGGAGCAAAGAGAAATACACTGTACTCCATAGGGCAGTGGTCTCCAAACTCCCTGGGGCCAAATGCGGCCCTGTGCTTGCTTTTATCTGGCCCTCAGGCCATTATTCCCCCCACTGTTGCTGACAGTGGGGGGGGGGGGGAATAAATGGTTCCTGCCACTGACACCAACAACGAGGCACTATTCCTCCCACTGTCACCACAGATGGGGCACATTTCCTCCCGCTGACACCAACAATGAGGCACTATTCCTCCTACTGTCACCAAAGATGGGGCACATTTCCTCACACTGACACCAATGATGGGGCACTATTCCTCCCACTGACACCAATGATGGGGCACTATTCCTCCCACCGACACTGACTATGGGGCACTATTCCTCCCACTGACATCAACAATGGGGCACTATTCCTCCCACTGACACTGAATATGGGGCACTATTCCTCCCACTGACATCAACAATGGGGCACTATTCCTCCCACTGACATCGACTATGGGGCACTATTCCTCCCACTGACATCAACAATGGGGCACTATTCCTCCCACCGACACCAATGACAGGGAACTATTCCTCCCACTGACAACGACGGGGCACTATTACTCCCACCGACACCAATGATGGGGCACTATTTCTCCCACAGACAACAAACTGGGCGCTGTTCCTTTCACCGACACCAATGACGGGGCACTATTCCTTCCACCGACACCAACAACAGGGCAATATTCCTCCAACTGACACCAACAATGGGACACTTTTAACTCCCACCGTCACCAACGATGAGGCAATATTCCTTCCACTGACACCAACAACGGGACACTCTCAACTCCAGCTGACCCTAAAGCATTTTCTACTCCCACTGGCAACAGTCCGGTCCTCCTAAAGTTTGAAGGACAGTAAACTGGCCCTTCATTTAGGATGTTTGGAGACCCCTGCAATAGGGGAACATGTGACTTACTTCTTTTTTCCAGTGTTTGCTGGTATATTGAGCTGCCAATCACCAGTGCTATGACATAGTAGAAGGCGAGTGAGCCACATCATGGCTAGGAGAGAATCTTCAGCCCTGTGGAAGCTCAAAATCATGACTTATCACTAGGGATGAGTGAAATTGACAGGTGTAATTTTCCCAAAAAATTTTGTCAGAAATCTGGAGATTTCTGTGAAATGTTGCCAGTTTAGTGAAATACATTGGAGTCCAAGCGGAAGGTAAATTAAAGCATTTTTTGTTTGATCTTAAGGGTGAAAAAAGCTTTATAGGGCTCCTGATGGTTACAAAAAAACGCTAACTATCCTGGATCCGCTCTTGTGTCAAAAACACATATTAGCCTTGGGATTACATAAACAAAATACACAAAAAAGTTTCCAAAAAAAAAAAAAAAAAGACAAATAGAAAGTACAATAAACTAAACTACTCCAAATACAGCCACCTTCCAAAAACACATTCTCCAAACACAAGCAAATTTCACTGGGCAAAGTCAATTTTCCGCTGTAATTTTGGCAACAATGAAATTGGTCATCTCTGTGTGAAATCAATGTTGTCAAGATTACCCCAATCACCTTTACCCATCAGGAATTTTATACCAATTACATTTTTAAAATTTTGCTGGACTGCTATTAGATTTAAAGTATGGGTCTGCTTTACATTTTTTTAACACTGATGTTTTACATCTTTTTTGGCTGCTGCTGTGTGTATACATTTTTCATTGTATGATTAAACACCTAATACAGGGTACATGGATAGAAAGGGAGTATGCAGAGCACAATGAGGAGAGAATCTTTTTTGCACTTGAGAGTGCAAAATCTGGTGCAGCTGTACATGGTAGCCAATCAGCTTCTAACCTCAGCTTTTTCAATGAAGCTTTGAAAAAAATATCTGGAAGCGGATTGGATTCTCTGAAGAATTGCACCAGATTTTGCACTCTCCAGCTTTGGTAAATAACCCCAAATGTGTTTCCTAAGGAGAGCACAATAGTAGATTATGGAGTTTTTCTTCTGACTAAAACTCCACACAGACCTGTTTGAATTGGCAGGCAGAGAAGGGGAGGAGTCAGGAATCTCACTCATGTGTGTGAAGTGAAGCTTGAGCTATTGAGCTCTATAAGCAGTAGATTTTTTTTGTCCAACAGATCAATTAAGAATAGACAAGTAAACGTGTGTAAAGGGAGCCTGGAGCTTCACCAACTGATTATACCTGTACTGATGGAATATCACTAGGGTATTCACCTCCCTGAAAATGAAAACTTTTTTTCTTATTGAACATAAATTCAAAAGAGACTATATGCTAAAATACTATATATTGGTGTGAAAAATGTTCATATACATATACAGTAAATAGAGATGAAAGGAGTCCACCCAGGGGCGTCCCTAGGGTTGGTGTCACCCTGTGCGGTAACACGTGGTGTCATCCCTCCAGAGGTGGGCGGTCCTTGTCATGCACACACAGCCTGGCTCTTCCCCTCCCTGTGTCCCTGTCGCACCCCTGGACCGGTGTTGCAAGATAATTTAACCCCGTATAGGTTGCAAGCCAACGATCCCCGCAAGATGGATTGGATCTGCGGATTGGGGAGCATAATGGATCAAACTCCTATCCATTACGCTCCCCAATCCGCAGATCCTATATCCATCTTGCTGGGATCTTCGGCTTGTAACCTATACGGGGTTAACTGATCTTGCAACACCGGTCCAGGGGTGCGACAGGGACACAGGGAGGGGAAGAGCCAGGCTGTGTGTGCACGACAGGGACCACCCACCTCTGGAGGGGTGACACCACATGTTACCGCAGATCCGATCCATCTTGTGGTGATTGTTGACTTTACTTTTGGTGTCACCCGATGCGGCGCGCACCCCCCGCACCCACCTAGGGACACCATTGAGTCCACCTTTTCTTTCAGAAACTAGTTTCTTATAGTTGTAAGTGCAGCTGGCTATAATGCTCCTATTGCTGGCCATATCTCCCAGTCACTCCAGCTGTACTCTGGTTGACAAGACCAGTAACTATGACATCACTACCAGTGACATCAAAAGCACCAATAGACCCAGCTCCATGGTTTCCTAAAGAATAACTTCACCTTTGTAAGTTTTCAGGGGAGAATTGACTATCAGTGTTCTGCCCATTTAAATATTTGTCCTGATTTTGTCCTTATTCAGCTATTTCTTCATTGCTTTCCAAACTTAGAACATTTTGCCTGCATAAAATATTCATGTTACACCGAGAAAAAAAAAATACTCTTTTCTTTTTCTCAATCTAAAACCAGTTTTTTTTCTGCAGTGACTGAACCATGAAAATGTAGAAGTGATTCATTTTATTTGCTGAGTAGATTAAAAGTGCGAGTTTTCAGACAGCTCCTGTCTCTCTGTTGGGGATGGTATGGCAAAATCAGCAAAACACAGCTTCAGAGGGGAAAAAAAATCCAATTTATAGACCTGGTATAGTGAAGCTGGATGTCCAGGTTTGATAAACCATGGCTGAAACCCACACACTCTGTGACAGTCACCCCCACCTTGTCAGGGTAGAATTAAGTTTTGGCATGTCACCATAACATGAGTTGACTTTAAGATGTTGATTTACTAAAGGCAAATAGACTGTGCACTTTGCAAAGTGCAATTGCACTCTGGAAGTGCTTTGCTTCAGAGTTTAGTAAATGGGGTAACGTTTCACTTTGCAAAATATACCCAATCACATGCAATGAAAATAAAACAAAGAAAAAAAAAAGCATTTTTTGCTTGCACATAATTTGATGATGGAAGTCAGGAGAACTTCTGCTCATTTACTAAGCTCTAGAGCAACTGCTTTTGCAGTGTGCAACTGCACTTTGCAAAGTGCACAGCCTATTTACCTTTAGTAAATCAACCTCAAAGGGTCACCCACTCAAAGCCTCACTTTTTTGGTACTTGCTAGAGCCCTCCTATCTAACCTGCAGCCCAGGGGCCTTTTGGCGCTTACTGTGTTGCTCTCACACGTTTGCTGTGTTTTCACGATTGCTCTAGCCAGTGCAGGATAATGTTATTTAGACTGAATTCTAGTAAATAAATTGTTTGATTTCTTTTGCACTATCTCCTTCTTTCTATCCCTTTTCCCTTTTTAGGTTTTCTCTTTTATAACTTGTCTTGCAAAGAGAAATATCAAATGTGGCACAAGTAATTTTAGGGAGGCTGTTTAGAGCACCTTTGTAAGCAGGTACAGTTAGCTACTTTGCCACTAGGTGGCTCTGTACCAGAATATTGTATGGTACAGCAGGTAGTGACACCAGGTGTTAGGCCCCTTTTAGGTAGAGCCCTCCCACTATGATGTCGTAGGCAAAGTAGCACCCATACAGGGGCGGACTGACCATTGGGAAACTCCGGCACTGCCCGAGGGCCCGGGGTCAGTAGGGGGCCCCATGAGATGCCTCTGGTACCTTTTTCATATGCTTTTTTGAGTTTGGGCAAGGACACGGGCCCCATGATCCCCTATTGGCCGGGGGCCCCATGAGTTGTCAGTCCGGCCCTGCACCCATATATACGTCAGTTAGGGAGGAGAACATAGACACTTGGGGCATGGGAGCTAAAACACCCCACCCCTATGAGGAGGTAGCCAGTACATGTAGGCCCTGGACAGGGCAGGAGGCTGGGTGAAGTGAATTTGTACGCAGGAGGGGCCGGCTGCAATCTCTGTCCCTCATGGAGGTGGGGGCTAGGGCAAATTTCAAAAGGCCTTTTAGGCCAGGCTGAAGATCCCTGTGTGAGTCTGCTTCCCTGGTGAGTTCCTGGGAGAGATGTACCTAGTAAGGAGGTGATTACAGAGAGCACAGTCCTGTAAGTACTAATGACCCTGGGCAGAGGAGAGACTGTAAGGGAGATGGCTATTGAGCTGCTGCACATACACTTGTGAGTACTGCGGACCATCCAATAAATGTGATTGAGTATGTAATGTCAAGTGATTCTGGAATGTATATCCTCGTGATGTGACTGCTATGCAGTTTCCTGAATAACACCAGTAAAGTGCAACAAAACTACCTCTTGTGTGGACATTCCTTTCTTTTAGAGATATAAATGTCTATGGCCAGAAATGTTGTGTGGAGGCTTCTGGCAAGGAGCAGGGCACAAGATGGTGGAGGGTTTGGCCTGGACTTGGCAGGGCTGGAGCGGGGTGAGGACTTGTGCTTTGGAGCCAAAATCAGCCACCCGCGAATCCCCTCTTACCTAATCATAGTCTCTGACCATCGCCTGTTGCATGTCTGCAGTCTCTGACATCTGTCTGTAGCATCAGTGAATAACATGTGCACCCTTTGATGATGTCAGGGGCTGCACTTGAGGCCTCCTATATCAAGTAAACTGACCACCCCTGTGCTAGCAAGGTAAACCCCCCTGATAGCTTCTTCAATCCCTTAAGGACTCTATTGGTGAGATCTTTCCCAAATCTGCAGACCCATCATGACCATTATGAGGAGCTCCCACTCTGCCTGTTGGATTTTTTTTTTGTTTTATTTTATGAAGAATGTAACAAGAGGAGCTGAAACACCCAAAACTTCCAGGTAGACAGGAACCAAATTGGAAATTAGAGCAGGGAGTTGTTGGGAATATCTAAAACGTAGGTGAATTTATGGGCTGACTAAGCTTACCAGGCTTCAATTAAAATATCACTTTTGAGTAGACATGACTAGAGATGAGCGAATCGAACTTGGCGAAGTGGAATTCGTTTCGAATATTAGGAAAAATTCGATTCGCACCGAATCCGAATTTTAGCAAACTTCGGATGCACGAATCGAATTTTCCCCGATCAGCCGGCAAAAAGTGTCACTGCAGAGAGCTCCGCTATTTCTGACAGTTCTCTGACAGTTCCTTCACATTTACAGCGGTTGAAACATTGTATCTATTTGTTTCCATTTAGGATACAGATGTTTTTATTCGGAAACAGATACAATGTTTCAACCGCTGTAAATGTGAAGGAACTGTCAGAGAACTGTCAGAAATAGCGGAGCTCTCTGCAGATACACTTTTTGCTGTACTGGAATTCTTCTTCTTTTCATTCTTCTTCTTCTTTTCATTCTTCTTCTTTTCATTCTTCTTTTCATTCTTCTTCTTCTTCTTTTCATTCTTCTTTTCATTCTTCTTCTTCTTCTTTTCATTCTTCTTTTCATTCTTCTTCTTCTTCTTTTCATTCTTCTTTTCATTCTTCTTCTTCTTCTTTTCATTCTTCTTTTCATTCTTCTTTTCATTCTTCTTTTCATTCTTCTCCTTCTTTTCATTCTTCTTTTCATTCTTCTCCTTCTTCTTTTCATTCTTCTCCTTCTTCTTTTCATTCTTCTCCTTCTTCTTTTCATTCTTCTTCTTCTTCTTCTTTTCATTCTTCTTCTTCTTCTTCTTTTCATTCTTCTTCTTCTTCTTCTTTTCATTCTTCTTCTTCTTCTTCTTTTCATTCTTCTTCTTCTTCTTCTTTTCCTTCTTCTTCTTTTCATTCTGCTTTTCATTCTTCTTCTTTTCATTCTTCTTTTCATTCTTCTTCTTTTCATTCTTCTTTTTCATTCTTCTTTTCATTCTTCTTTTCATTCTTCTTTTCATTCTTCTTTTCATTCTTCTTCTCATTCTTCTTTTCATTCTTCTTCTCATTCTTCTTTTCATTCTTCTTCTCATTCTTCTTCTCATTCTTCTTCTCATTCTTCTTCTCATTCTTCTTCTCATTCTTCTTCTCATTCTTCTTCTTTTCATTCTTCTTCTTTTCATTCTTCTTCTTTTCATTCTTTTTCTTCTTCTTTTCATTCTTCTTCTTCTTTTCATTCTTCTTTTCATTCTTCTTCTTCTTCTTCTTTTCATTCTGCTTTTCATTCTTCTTCTTCTTCTTTTCATTCTGCTTTTCATTCTTCTTCTTTTCATTCTGCTTTTCATTCTTCTTCTTTTCATTCTTCTTTTCATTCTTCTTCTTTTCATTCTTCTTTTCATTCTTCTTCTTCTTTTCATTCTTCTTCTTCTTCTTTTCATTCTTCTTCTTCTTCTTTTCATTCTTCTTTTCATTCTTCTTCTTCTTCTTCTTTTCATTCTTCTTTTCATTCTTCTTCTTCTTCTTTTCATTCTTCTTCTTCTTCTTTTCATTCTGCTTTTCATTCTTCTTCTTCTTTTCATTCTGCTTTTCATTCTTCTTCTTCTTTTCATTCTTTTCATTCTTCTTTTCATTCTTCTTTTCATTCTTCTTCTCATTCTTCTTCTCATTCTTCTTCTCATTCTTCTTTTCATTCTTCTTCTTCTTTTCATTCTTCTTCTTCTTCTTTTCATTCTTCTTCTTCTTTTCATTCTTCTTCTTTTCATTCTTCGTCGTGCCCCGTGACTGCCCAAATGAGTGAAGTGTGCGGTGATTCTAAGATCGACGGCACTCATCTGCATGTCATACTGACTGACAGTATTATTTCTCTTCCCCAGCAGACTCCAAGGGCATTTAAATTAAAGGTACAGTGTTCTGCACTAATATAAAGGCTCTCTGAAGCCTAGAAACCCTTTTAATAAGTTAAATTTGCAGTGAATAAATTCGCATCGAATCGAATTTCTCCCGCAAATTCGGCGAATCAGCCGAATCGAATTTTTGAATAATTCGCTCATCTCTAGACATGACCTTCAAGCAGGTCAGTATTCCAAAAAGGTACTGTTTAGCAGGCTGAAGGGAAGAGGACAACGAGATGCAACATCTTCTTCACCCTTAATGTAAGACATCTAGATGCACAAGATGGCAGCCACTCAATCTAATTATATTTAGAAACATAGGGGTTTATTTACTAAAGCTGGAGAGTCCAAAATCAGACTCCCTTCTGCATAGAAACCAATCAGCTTCCAGGTTTCATTGCCAAAGCTTCATTGAACAAGCTGAGGTTAGAAGCTGATTGGTTTCTATGCAGAAGGGAGTCTGATTTTGGACTCTCCAGCTTTAGTAAATAAACCCCATAGTGTCACCAAGTACCAAGCATACTGGCTGAACATGCATGTTTATGTGAAAGGCACAAAACTCTAGTGTCAGCCTTTGCTCTATCAACAGTAGCAATTAACAGGGAGAATGAAACTGAATCAATCCTACTTCCAAGATATGCCTGGAGTTGGCATCTCTGCACAACTTTTCACCTAGATCTGACCACAATCATGCAACAATCATTTTATCTGGGGACCGGAAGACCATAGAGTCTTCTTTTAGAGGTTCATTCTGTATGGATAAAACTAAGCTTTGTCTTCACTCACCGGAATATCCATTGTTGTGTTGTGACCTCAGCATGTCCTCCGTTATGTAGACGCAGAGTTCAGGGCTGACGTCCAAGGCCAAGTCAATGTCCTTTGGATCATCTACCAGCATCTCAATCTCTTAACAGGTAAGAATGACTTGTGAAAACCAGCAGAATATAGGCAACAATAAGCAGAATATATACAATACATATCACAGATTGTAAGTTTCTGTACGTGTCCAAAACTATGGATCCCATTTGTGCGTTTTTGTAAAATTAATATATAAATAAAATTTAAAAAAAAACAGCTGGGGTGATATATTAGGAGGCAGCATTTTCTGATACATGGCAGACTTCCTATCGAGAAATACGACTGAAGAATATTTGCTGACCCTTTTAAAGCATACATGTGCTTTCCCTATGCAGGGCAAATCCACAGGTTCACGCTAAAGCTTTTATTTACCTTCTTTTCCCTCTCCAGCTGCTGTTTGGTCAGGAAAGTGAAGAGAAATACCCAGTACTTTTAGATCTGTGTGAGGGGACTAGTGCATGGTGGCTGACTGCTCAGGAACCCAATACTGTCACATGGGGTGGGGCATGCAGTTTCTGATGCATGGTGGCTGACTGCTCAGGAACCCAATGCTGTCACATGGGGTGGGGAAGTTACATGCACAGGGCTTCCTCTCTTCACTTCTCACAGGCAAACAAAGTAGTGCTGGAGCAAAATGAAAGGGAAGAATGTGCAGTAGCAATTAAAGTGTGCATATATTGCTTTACCTTGCATGGGCATGGCAGCCGGAACAGAAGAAGCTGCACAGAAAAATGTCTTCAATGTCATAACTAGCTAAGTAGATGTCAGATACTGAAGTTCCTCCATTCTCATCTAGCAAACCAATTCTGTATGGACCTTCATCCTCCCCTGTGCACAAATCATTCTTTTCATATAGAATCAGTTTTACTGAGACAGGAATGGGGGAACAAGACTCACCAACGTGAATTTCCAGTCTCAAAGCAACCAAAAGTCTGTAGGAGGAATGAGAATGCCAACAGTGTGCCATCACAGCCCAACATCAGGGTTTATCCTCACTAATGTTTCTGTGGTTGAATGCATGCAAAGTTCAATGTTGATATACCTAATAGAAGCCTTCCCAAAAGAGTATAAGCTGCTACAGGAGCAAAGGAAGGAACTTTATATTAAAGTGTACCTGTGCTCAGTCTAACTCTCCTAACCTAAAGCTCCTTCAGACATAGTGTGCTCATCCTAACTCCTCTAACCTAGGAGCTCCTTCAGGAGTGGTGTGCTCATCCTAACTCCACTAACCTAGGAGCTCCTTCAGGAGTGGTGTGCTCATCCTAGCTCTCCTAACCTACCTTCAGGCATGGTGTGCTCATCCCAACTACCATAACCTTAGGTTACACTCACCATGCCTGAAGGAGCTCTAAGGTTATGGTAGTTGGGATGAGCACAACATGCCTGAAGGTAGGTTAGGAGAGCTAGGATGAGCACACCACTCCTGAAGGAGCTCCTAGGTTAGAGTTAAGATGAGTACATCATTTCCTTGAAGGTGCTCTAAAGTAGATTAGTTAGGATGAGCACACTGTCTGAAGGAGCTTTAGGTTAGGAGAGTTAGGATGAGCACACCATGCCTGAATGAACTTCAGATAAGAGGAGTTAGGTTACACTCACCATGCCTGAAGGAGCTCTAACTCCTCTTATCTGAAGTTCCTTCAGGCATGGTGTGCTCATCCTAACTCTCCTATCCTAGAGCTTCTTCAGTCATGGTGTGCTCATCCTAGCTCTCCTAACCTAGAGCTTCCTCAGGCATGGTGAACATTTTCTAACTCCCCTTACCTAAAACTCCTTCAAACATGGTATGCTCATTCTAACTACCATAACCTAAAGCTCCTTCAGACATGATAATACAAACTAATATACTGCCATACACTAATTTATTCTCCAACTTATTTTTTCCTTGCATTCATCAGCTTGGTGTGACAAACAACTACCTGGAGGTCCTTTGAATATTTAAAAATGTACTTACCATCATCTTGGGAGTCATCGTCCAGTCTGTCCTTGTCAGCGCTCTCAGCCCCAGAGGTGTGGGAGCTGCTGTGGCTGGTCATAGAGCTGCAGGTTTTCAGTTTGTGGTGAAGTGATGACCTAGAGAAACTATCCTCTGCTCCAATGTCCCTGGCTTTTGTGTCCGCCTCTATCCCTGAGGTGAGCGAACTGCTGTGACTGGTCGTGGAGCGCCTGCAGAGGCAATTGTGCTTTGTGCTCCCTCCGCTACTCGTGGATCTGTTCTCCAGATGCTCCATATCCTGATCCAAAGTGTCGCTGATGTATGACTCTCTGTACAGCTTCTTCTCTGCAATACACAAGGGTTGGAGAGCAATCACACCCAATCCAGAAACTTGCAGCTGGCAGCTTTACACAAAACTCAGATTAAGGTAAAGTGAGGGGACTTTATGACTTTAAAAAGTCACATCGCTCATAACTGAGATTTCATTTTTTGGTAGAGGCACAACATTTTCCTTATCTCTGGTTTTGTATTGGTGAGGTCTCCACCCTGAACTCCTCATATCTGCTCTGGTCATTATGATGGGTTCCTACTCTGCCGCCTTGAGTTTTCATTTATTCTATATTATGGAGATGGTAACAGGAGTAATTGGAACTCAGCAAGTTAGGTGGAAACAGGGTTGATAAATGCATCAAAGGATCTGGCAGTGCACATTAAAATATGTGAATTTGTGCCATTGTCATTACACATTGATGTGGGGATGGGACATAATGTCAGCGACTATGGATTCGACCTCAGTAGTACTTACATAGAATGACTTGATCCTTTTGTCCCACGGTTGTAGCTCAGAATGGTGACTTCAGCGATGGAACTGAGACAATACTGTTTGACTGATATCAATCCGTCTGGCAGTACTTGATGTTCTAAACAGCTGAAGCCTGCAGGGACACTTAAGTCCCCGTTGGGCAAATATACAGTATATCCACTGCACTGGTGGCCAGTGGTGAAACCCCTGTGGACCTCCCGCAGAACCTTAGAGTTCCAGTGAACTCCGGTTGAGAAACTCAGGTCTAAAAGGACAAAGAAGTTCCACCAAACTTTTCAGAAGAACCTCATGTACCAGTAGTGGACACATTTTGTGAAACATTACCCACCTTCATTTTCTTCCAGTAGTCGAACTTGCCGTAGTACTGGCTGGAGTTTCATGTAGAGTTGGTGACTGTTACTCAACAGCTGAAGGAGGTGACGTGAGCGCATGGAGCAGCCGGTATAGTACGTCAATTTTCTGGCCGAGGGTAAGCCGTCCGGTAAGATCTCAAACTTTTTGCCCTGAAGATAATATAGAAACAAGTTGGAGAGAACGATCTGCAATGACTTATTAGGATTGATTTAGTAAAGGCATGAAGACTGTTCACCTACCAATGAGTAGGAAAGCAAACATTCACTTTGCTAGGTGAACGACCTCTATTCTTTTAGTAAATCAACCCCAGTGTGAAATTCATAAATGTAACATGTCAGTAGGTTAATGTGCAAAAAAACATGTACGTATGCAGTGCCCAATGTAGCACTAGCGTGAATGAGGACTTCAGAGTCTCTGCTGTGATCCTAGAGCTGCCTTTCTCAAACTTTTTTTACCACAGGATTCTTTGAAATAATTTTCAGGTCTCAGAGAACCCGTGGTAAAAAGTTCATTGGGGGGCAATGGGAAAAATGCCCCCCTTAAAGTGGTTAGAATACAACACTTCCAGACAGCTAAAGAGATAACTGGTGTCATGCTGCTGGCTCTGCTAAGTGGTGTTGGCCTTGGAACTATGTAAGCAATACCCAAATAGAAGGTTAATCAACCTCAGCTCAAGGAACCCCTAGCAATCACTGCAGGAAGCCTAGGCTTCCATGGAACCCTGGTTGAGAATCGCTGTTTTAGAAGATGAATTACACCACAGTACATGCAGCTAAAGAGGTCAATGAGTGTTTTTTTCAATCTTTTTTGTCACTTGTTAAAAAATATGCAACTACTTTAATGTTTATAGTGCAGGCACAGGTTCACTTTAAACACAGTCGAAACCAGAAGCTAATTCCACTCTCGCTTCTAAATCTTAGAAAAGTTAACTCCTCATTAAGGTCTTAAGAGGGATAATCCTGCCATACTTGGCGCCTGCTGGGGGTTTGTTCCCTCATAATGCGATCTTTGTTGGACACAGTGATCACCTTATCAGAAGGAACACATACATACATACAGTACATTTATAAAAAGTGTAATTCAGAAATGGTGTCTCCCACCCAGACCCTTGTGGTTTTAGTAATCACTTACCACGAACACCAACTTCCCCACATTGGTCCAGGGGAAGTCATATAGCAGCTGCTTTTCATCTCCTGAACTCTGTAAAAAAAAAACAAAAAAAAAAAAAGGGAGAAAAATCTTATACAATGAAAACTATTAAAAACTTTATTTCTATGGAATTATATATAATGATTCAGCAGGTAAAATAAGTATTGAACACGTCACCATTTTTCTCAGTAAATATATTTCTAAAAGTGGTATTGACATGACATTTTCACCACATGTTGGTAACAACCCATGCAATCCATACAAAGAAACCAAAACAAATACATTCAGAAATTAAAAAGGTCCAGTTTATTACACATAAATTAATTTCTGAACATATTTGTTTTGGTTTCTTTGTATGGATTGCATGGGTTGTTACCAACATGTGGTGAAAATGTCATGTCAATACCACTTTTAGAATTATATTTACTGAGAAAAATGGTGACGTGGGGAACATTGGGGAACTGGAGAAAGTACAGAGAAGGGCAACCAAACTGATACGAGGCATGGAGGAGATCAGCTATGAGGAAAGATTAGAGGAACTGAATTTATTCTCTTGAGCAGAGGAGATTAAGGGGGATATGATCTCCATGTATAATACATAAGGGGGGATATGATCTCCATGTATAATACATAAGGGGGGATATGATCTCCATGTATAATACATAAGGGGGGATATGATCTCCATGTATAATACATAAGGGGGGATATGATCTCCATGTATAATACATAAGGGGGGGATATGATCTCCATGTATAATACATAAGGGGGGGATATGATCTCCATGTATAATACATAAGGGGGGATATGATCTCCATGTATAATACATAAGGGGGATATGATCTCCATGTATAATACATAAGGGGGATATGATCTCCATGTATAATACATAAGGGGGGATATGATCTCCATGTATAATACATAAGGGGGGATATGATCTCCATGTATAATACATAAGGGGGCTATGATCACCATGTATAATACATAAGGGGGATATGATCTCCATGTATAATACATAAGGGGGGATATGATCACCATGTATAATACATAAGGGGGGGATATGATCTCCATGTATAATACATAAGGGGGATATGATCTCCATGTATAATACATAAGGGGGGATATGATCTCCATGTATAATACATAAGGGGGGATATGATCACCATGTATAATACATAAGGGGGATATGATCTCCATGTATAATACATAAGGGGGGATATGATCTCCATGTATAATACATAAGGGGGATATGATCTCCATGTATAATACATAAGGAGGGATATGATCTCCATGTATAATACATAAGAGGGGATATGATCTCCATGTATAATACATAAGGGGGATATGATCTCCATGTATAATACATAAGGGGGGATATGATCTCCATGTATAATACATAAGGGGGGATATGATCTCCATGTATAATACATAAGGGGGATATGATCTCCATGTATAATACATAAGGGGGGATATGATCTCCATGTATAATACATAAGGGGGGATATGATCTCCATGTATAATACATAAGGGGGCTATGATCACCATGTATAATACATAAGGGGGGGATATGATCTCCATGTATAATACATAGGGGGGATATGATCTCCATGTATAATACATAAGGGGGGATATGATCTCCATGTATAATACATAAGGGGGATATGATCTCCATGTATAATACATAAGGGGGGATATGATCTCCATGTATAATACATAAGGGGGATATGATCTCCATGTATAATACATAAGGGGGGGGATATGATCTCCATGTATAATACATAAGGGGGATATGATCTCCATGTATAAATACATCAGTGGTTCATATAGTGAACTCGGTGGAGTTACTCACCCTGAGGTCATCACAGAGGACAAGGGGGCACCCTTTATGTCTGGAGGAAAAGAAATTTAATATCCAACACGGAAAGGTTTCTTCACAGTAAGAGCTGTGAAAATGTGGAATAGACTCCTTCAAGAGTTGGTTCTGGCCAGCTCAGTAGATTGCTTTAAAAAAGTCCTGGATTCTTCTTAGATACACAGAATATAACTGGATATAACATTTATAGGTAAAGTTAATCCAGGGAATATCCGATTGCCTCTCAGGGGATCAGGAAGGATTTTTTTTTTTCCCTGCAGGAGCAAATTGGATCATGCTTTGCTGGGTTTTTTTTGCCTTCCTCTGGATCAGCTGTGGGTATAGGATTATAACTTTTTTTTTTTAATGGTTGAACTGGATGGACTTTTGTCTTTTTTCAGTCAGAATATGCAACTATAGGTGTTCAATATTATTTTACCTGCTGTATATACAGTACACATGGGGCAGTCATTAGCTATTCATACACACTGAGAATCAGTCGAAAATAGGCTCACATTCCCCAATGAAATCAGCCAACTGGGAGCCCTATAAACGGCTATCAACACAAGCTATGATACAGGCACAGCGTCTAGTTATGATAGTAATTAAATAACAATCATAAATGCTGTCTTACAGATTAATTGGTAAAACACCAACCTGGAAGATCTGGATTCCTCGCAGGGTAAGTCCAAGGAGCAATGAAGCTTCCACCTCCCTTTTATCCTGAAAATTTCAAACCAAATATAAAATGATTCGTTTTAAAGCTGAAGTTGAATCTGCTTACAATTTGCCTTCCCTGGTTCTTCCCTCATCAACATGCTAATGAAATGTTTAAATAAAACCATTCCGTTTTCGTTACATACCTTACTTTAGATTCAGTGAAGTCATCACTGGGTCTCTATGCTCTATCTTTCTACCCCTCACCTCACCCCCTTTAGTCTCCTCTCGCATTACTAACCTACTAAGCCACATATCGGCATGGATGTCACTCCACTTCCTCAAACTCAATCTTTCCAAAACTGAGCTCGTAGTATTCCCCCCAGCCCGTGCCCCCCCCCCCCTCTCCCCTGACTTCTCCATCAAGATCAATAACACAACTATCAGTCCCTCCCCTCATGCCAGGGTACTAGGTGTAATCCTAGACTCCCACCTGTCCTTTCAGTCCCAAATCCAATCGCTGTCTAAATCTTGTAGACTTCACCTCCGCAACATCTCCAAGATACACCCGTTCCTAACCTCGGAAACCACTAAGCAACTTATTCACTTCCTTGTTATATCTCGCCTTGACTATTGTAACTCCCTCCTCATTGGAAGACCTCATCGCAGGCTATCCCCTCTTCAGTCTATCATGAATGCTGCTGCCAGACTCATCCGCCTTACTAACCGTTCCATATCTGCCACCCCTCTCTGCCAATCCCTCCACTGGTCTCCTCTCAGTGTCCTCCACCCCCCTCTGCCAATCCCTCCACTGGCCTCCACTCAGTGTCCTCCATCCCTCTCTGCCAATCCCTCCACTGGTCTCCACTCAGTGTCCTCCACCCCCCTCTGCCAATCCCTCCACTGGCCTCCACTCAGTGTCCTCCATCCCTCTCTGCCAATCCCTCCACCGGCCTCCACTCAGTGTCCTCCATCCCTCTCTGCCAATCCCTCCACCGGTCTCCACTCAGTGTCCTCCATCCCTCTCTGCCAATCCCTCCACTGGTCTCCACTCAGTGTCCTCCATCCCTCTCTGCCAATCCCTCCACCGGTCTCCACTCAGTGTCCTCCATCCCTCTCTGCCAATCCCTCCACTGGCTTCCCATTGCCCAACGGGTAAAATTCAAAACATTAACAATAACATATAAAGCCATTTAAAACTCTGCTCCAAATTACATCACCAATCTTGTCTTCAAATATCACCCAAACCATACTCTCCGCTCCTTGCACGACCTCCTGCTCTCTAGCTCCCTTGTCTCCTTCTCCCATGCTCATCTCCAGGATTTCTCCAGAGCTTCTCCCATCCTCTGGAACTCTCTACCCCAATGTATCGCCTACTCTGCTCACTTTTAGGCGATCTCTGAAAACCTAACTTTTCAGGGAAGCCTATCCTGCCCTCAGCTAATAATGGAATCTTCTACTTCTCCTACCAGTCCATCTCCCACAGTTACTACCGTTTGTACCGCTAAGCCCCTCCCTCTTAGATTGTAAGCTCCAAGGATCAGGGCCCTCCTATCCCTCTTGTATTGAACTGTATTGTTGCTGTATTGTCTCCCTTTATATTGTAAAGCGCTGAGCAAACTGTTGGCGCTATATAAATCCTGTATAATAATAATAAATATGCTTCTCTATGTATGAAGCTCATGGTTGGTGGGAGGGAACCCAGGGTGTTTACAAACCATGCAAAAAAAATGCTTGTGGTACCATTCGTGGCTAATTGAATCTTAAATGTGGCAAGCAGATGCACCTTTTTTTTTCTTTTGCCCAGAAAAAAAACAAAACAAATGCTGCAAAATGATCAGTTAAAAAATGTGCAACGCTTGTCGCTCAAAATAGATTCTTGAGTTACTATGCCACGTTTGTCACACATACGGCATCCCATTGAAATGAACAGGCTGTCCCATGTGTCTAGCGCACTAGAAAATACACACATGATACCTGATGTCACACGTCATAGTGTGAATGGGGAACATATTAGAGATTTTATGAGAGTTTAGTGATGGGGGATACATATTGTGCTGGATCTTTAACTGGGGTCATCACACGCAGCCTGGCGATGGCTTGCTGGGGCATACAGCTTACACTTCATATCCACCGTCTGCCTTCTCACCTTGTATAACCTGTAGTAATGGACACAAAGGTCATCGAGTCTTGCGGCTTCTTTGATATACATCAGTTGTGCTTCCGACACGGTCAGTGCAAATTGGTCGCGGTGAATATTAGGAATGTGCTTGAGGATGTAATCTTTCCCTCGTTTTTTAATTATCTGAAGAAGAAAACACCACAATGAGTAATGACGTGTCAGAGAAGGATACCTCTCCATGGTAGTGCACTAAACATTTAGCTGAAGCTTAATCTGCTTATATTTTACCTTCCCTGCCCCCTCCCCCCCATTAAAATGCTAATGACATTTTCCAAAAAAAGCCTTTACATTTTCGTCATATGCCTTATTTTGGGTCTCTGTGCTTCTCTATACAATGCAGGCAGATCATGGCTGGTGGCAGGGGATGGCAGGGTCTGAAGTCTGAGTCTGGTCGGGTGGATTGTACATGCTTATAGGTAGGTCAGTGTATAGGGGTGCAACAAAATTTGCTGCTCAGAGAAGCTTTTTCTTCCTGCTTTATTGAATCTGGACTGTGGATTGTGCATACTATAGGTAGATCAGTTTATGGGTGTGTACCAAGACTTTCTGCTGCTTAGATAAGCTTTATCCTCCTTCTCTGTTGAGTCTGGACTTGTAGACTGTCACATTAGAAGATCAGCTTATATGGGTGTACCAAGGCTCTCTGCTGCTCAGATAGGCTTTTTTCTCCTTTTCTGTTGAATCTGGACTGATGTACTGCACATGCTATAGGTAGATCAGCTTAGAGAGGGGTATACAAGACTCTTTTCTGCACAAATGAGCTCTCTCTTCCTCCGCTGAGTCTGGACTGGTGGACTATACATACTATAAATAAGTCAAATAATCCACTATATTGCCAAAAGTATTGCCCACCCCCCTCCAAATCATGTGATTCAGGTGTTCCAATCCCCTCCATGGACACAGGTGTATACAATCAAGCCCCTAGGCATGCAGACTGCTTCTACAAACATTTGTGAAAGAATGGGTCGCTCTCAGGAGCTCAGTGACTCCAAGCGTGGTCCCGTGATAGGTTGTCACCTGTGCAATAAGTCCATCCGTGACATTTCCCGGCTAATAAATATTCCACGACCAACTGTTAGTGGGATTATAACAAAGTGGAAGCAACTGGGAACAACAGCAACTCAGCCACCAAGTGGTAGGCCACGTCACATGACAGGGCGGGGTCAGAGCATGCTGAAGCGCACAGTGTGCAGAAGTCGCCAACAGGGGCGGACTGACAACTCATGGGGGGCCCCCGGGCAATAGGGGATCATGGGGCCCCTGTGTCCTTGCCCAAACTCAAAAAAGCCTATGAAAAAAAAAAGGTACCAGGGGCATCTCATGGGGCCCCCTACTGACCCCAGGCCCTCGGACACTGCCCGAGTTTCCAAATGGTCAGTCCGCCCCTGGTCGCCAACTGTCTGCAGAGTCAATAGCTAAAGACCTCCAAACTGCATGTGGCCTTCAGATGAGCCCAACAACAGTGCGTAGAGAGCTTCATGGAATGGGTTTCCATGGCCGAGCAGCTGCATCCAAGCCTTACATCACGAACGGCAATGCAAAGCATTGGATGCCGTGGTGTAAACCACGCCGCCACTGAACTCTACAGCAGTGGAGACGTGTTCTCTGGAGTGACCAATCATGCTTCTGTCTGGCAATCCGATGGATGTGTCTGGGTTTGTTGGTTGCCAGGAGAACGCTACTTGCCTGACTGCATTGTGACAAGTGTAAAGTTTAGTGGAGGGGGGATTATGGTGTGGGGTTGTTTTTCAGGGGTTGGGCTTGGCCCCCTAGTTCCAGTGAAGGGAACTCTTAAGGCGTCAGCATACCAAGACATTTTGGACAATTTCATGCTCCCTCCTTTGTGGGAAGAGTTTGGGGATGGCCCCTTCCTGTTCCAACATGACTGCCCACCAGTGCACAAAGCAAGGTCCATAAAGACATGGAGGAGCCAGTTTGGGGTGGAGGAACATGACTGGCCTGCACAGAGTCCTGACCTCAACCCCATAGAACACCTTTGGGATGAATTAGAGTGGAGACTGCGAGCCAGGCCTCCTCCCCCGACATCAGTGCCTGACCTGACAAATGTGCTTCTGGAAGAATGGTCCAACCTTCCCATAGACACCCTCCTAAACCTTGTGGACGGCCTTCCCAGAAGAGGTGAAGCTGTTATATCTGCAAAGGGTGGGGCCAACTCAATATTGAACCCTACAGACTAAGACTGGGGGGGCATTATAGTTCATGTGTGTGTAAACGCAGGCCGACCAATACTTTTGGCAATATAGTGTATATTTCCTTCTATAGTGACTTAGAATACATACCAATGATAGCTCTCCAAACTGTATAAAACAATACAAGCAATACAAGCAAACTGTAACAGTGCACTTAAATATACACAGCACAGCAGGAGACAGGTCCTCTTTACTAGCAGAGCAGATAATTTTGACCATTATGAAGCTGATTTTGTTCCGTTCTTATCTGCAGATTAGTGGTTGGCTCCCCGCGGTGTAGAAGATGAAGCTTTGTGGAGTTAATGGCCGCGAATATATTGCATTCTTAGACTGTGTCCTCGTAATATGTCAGGAACTTCGAATAAAGCTGGATTAATGCCGGCCCCCTTCCCGTCCCGGCAGAGACTAGAGCAATCAGCATCTCGATCAATTTTCCATTTGTAATAATGAATTTACAGATGCGCTGCTCTCCAGCATCATTATAATTTGTCATCTTGTCGAAGTGCTTATTTACTGCGCGGTGTCACAGTCACGGCTGTCTGACCCCCAGCAAGATTCATGACGTTCATTACCAGTGGGGCTGTGACACGATCACATTTACATACAGGCTTTATTATTTATTTATTTATTTCAGGTACTTATATAGCGCCGTTAATTTACACAGCACTTTACATATATATTGTACATTCACATCAGTCCCTAACCGTCAAGGGGTCTACAATCTAAGGTCCCTAACCCTCAAGGGGCGTACAATCTAAGGTCCCTAACCCTCAAGGGGTGTACAATCTAAGGTAACTAACTCACATTCATACATACACATACTAGGAACAATTTAGACAGGAGACAATTAACCTACCAGCATGTCTTTGGAGAGTGGGAGGAAACCGGAGTACCCGGTGGTAACCCACGCAGCCACAGGGAGAACATGCAAACTTTGCAGGCAGCTGGTGCCATGGTTGGGATCAGGGGCGGACTGACATTTGGAAACTCGGGCACTGCCCGAGGGCCCAGGGTCAGTAGGGGGCCCCATGAGATGCCCCTGGTACCTTTTTCATAGGCTTTTTTAAGTTTGGGCAAGGACACAGGGGCCCCATGATCCCTTATTGCCCGGGGGCCCCATGAGTTGTCAGTCCGCCCCTGGTTGGGATTCAAACCAATGACCCTAGTACTGCCAAGCAGAAGTGCTAACCATTTAGCCCCTGTGCTTTAAAAGAGGAAATATCATCAGCTCAGAAAATGTATTTATCTATTTCAGGTACTTATATAGCGCCGTTAGTTTACGCAGCGCTTTACATATATATTGTACATTCACATCAGTCCCTAACCCTCAAGGGGCATACAATCTAAGGTCCCTAACCCTCAAGGGGTGTACAATCTAAGGTCCCTAACCCTCAAGGGGCGTACAATCTAAGGTCCCTAACCCTCAAGGGGTGTACAATCTAAGGTCCCTAACTCACATCCATACATACACATACTAGGGACAATTTAGACAGGAGCCAATTCAGCTACCAGCATGTCTTCGGAGTGTGGGAGGAAACCGGACTACCCGGGAAGAAACCCACGCAGGCACAGGGAGAACATGCAAACTCCAGGCAGGTGGTGTTGTGGCTGGGATTTGAACCAACGACCCTAGTACTACCAGGCGGAAGTGCTAACCATTTAGCCACTGTGCTGCCAATGAAAAGCTATAAAAAAAAGCTAAACTTTTTTTCAGTTTTGGAAAAAAGTAGTAAATGGGAGTGATTTCTATCCACTTCCTGTCCCCGAGACACAGCAGGAGGTAAGAATAGATCTCCCCTCAGTATGGGGTAAAATGTTGTCACTAGAACTTGTTTACCTTGCTGTTTTTCTATACTTACTGCGCACAAAGAGATACAGTGTTAGAAAACGTTACAGTATTTAAAAAATACAGAAGTTAGACAGCTTATTAAAAAAAATTATGTTTTAGCAAACAAAAAATGAAAAGTTAAGCTGTATATAAAGCCAAAACTTTTTTTTGGTGGATTTGAACAAAGCAAGAATATTGGGGGAGATTTCCCTTTATTTCCTGCCCCTGAGACACAACAGAAAGAATAGATGTCTCCAAAGTAAGGGGATAGAGAGTTGTCACTGGAACATGTTTATCTTCTGTCTCTCTCAAGGGCGAACTGACAACTCATGGGGCCCCTGGGCAATAGGGGATCATGGGGCCCCTGTGTCCTTGCCCAAACTCAAAAAAGCCTAAGAAAAAGGTACCAGGGGCATCTCCTGGGGCCCCCTACTGACCCCGGGCCCTCGGGCAGTGCCCGAGTTTCCAAATGGTCAGTCCGCCCCTGGTCTCTCTCCTATACTAACTGCACAGACAAAGATACAATGTTAGAAAACGTTTCAATATTTTAAAAAAAACTAGAAGATAGAGAGCTTGTTTAAAAATAAAAAAGTATGTTTAAACAAAAAAAAAATAAAATGAAAAGTTAAGCTGTATATAAAGCCAAAACATTTTTTCTGATTTTAACAAAGCAAGAATTGGGGGAGATTTCCCTTTATTGGGAGAGTGCATGTGATCAGCATAGGGCCAATCAGCACTGTCCAGACAGAGGGTCAGGGGTTATGCAGCCCCATAGGACAGTCAGGGGAGAATGAAAACTCCTCCTACAAGCTTTAACCAGTGCTCTGCTGGACACTGATAGAAGTCACAAGACTGCTCTAACATCTGATGAGAAAAGGTATTTAGCAGTTTATATTTACTAACATAATTATATTTCCATGTTCTGTGTACTGTGGGAGACCAGACCAGAACGCAGGGTCCGGGGAGACCGGATATAGTGAATGCAGGGTCCG